GCACCCCCCGGGGTAGGACCCTCTATGGGAGACTTCTTCTCCTGTTTGGAAGCTTCGGCTTCCGAATCCCCAGACGCAATCCTTTTCCTCTTCTGGCCGTCTTCCTTCATGGAGACGCTCGCTCCCTCGGCTAGAGCGGACAGCGTTTGGGGCCCGCGACCGCCCGCATTTTCCTTCAAGGGCTCCGGGCAAGGTGCGGTCTGGAGCATCTTTTCCAATATCGGATTTTCCAAACCCTCAGGGAGGGGGGCCAGCACCGAATCAACTTCGCCTTCATTAGCCAGTCCTGGTCAAAAAGCGAACTCTCAGAAATAACTTCGCATCAAAGGAGAGGTAGTACGCTCGGTCGGAAGACGCCTACCTGTTCGGCGGCGCGGTTGCTACTCAGGCCCGCGTCCTCGGTGATTCCCGGACACTCCACTTGAGGTCCGAAGAACGACTTGTACATCTCCTCGTGCGTCAGGCCGAGGAAATTTTGAATGGCGCGCGGTCCCTCAGGATTGAACTCCCACAAGCGAAGAGGCCGGCGTTTGCAAGGCTGGACTTGACGAACCAGCATAACTTGTGTTACCGCAACCAAACTGAAATCTCCGTTAAAGAGATCTTGAATGCGGCTTTGCAGTATATGCACGTCCTTGGCCGGACCCTAGCTCAATCCTCTGTTAATCCATGACATCAGCGGTGGTGGAGGGCCCGGGCAGAAGACAGGGGTGGCCGCCCACTTGGCACTTCTAGGAGCCGTGATGTAGAACCACTCCTGTTGCCATAATTCAGACACCTCTGGAATGGAACCTTTGGGCCATGCAGCTCCTGTCATCTTGTGTATTGAGGCGCCTCCACACTCCGCATGTTGCCCCTTGATTATCTTCGGTTTTACTTCAAAGGTCTTGAGCCATAGGCCAAAGTGAGGGGTAACCCGGAGGAAGGCCTCGCACACAACAATAAATGCCGTGATATGAAGAAAGGAGTCTGAAGCTAGATCATGGAAATCTAGCCCGTAGTAAAACATCAAGCCCCTGACGAAAGGATCCAATGCAAGGCCTAGACCTCGGAGGAAGTGGGAGACGAACACGACGCTCTCGTTGGGTTCGGGGGAGGGGACGGCCTGCCCCCGGGGAGGCAGCCGATGCAGAATCTCGGCGGTCAGATATCTGGCCTCCCTCAACTTTTTGACGTCTTCTTCCGTGACGGAAGAAGGCACCCATCGGCCTTGAAGGCTAGATCTGGACATAACTGAAGGTTCGGAGCACCTGACCTGAACTTTGGGCGTTTGAGCTTGAGGTAGGGGAAGGATTCGATTGAGCACGGGAGGGAAAAATAAAAGCCCTCGTCCCTTTATAAAGAGGGTGGATATCGAGCGTCCTCTCCGTGTCCGTTTGGACTTGCCTATATCTAGGAGTCCTTGAAGCGGTTGGGTTACCCACGCCCGTATTGATGAGAATCCCGGAATAAGGGGACATGATCTCTGCTTTAACAGGACGTGCCAAGGAAACCACCTCGCGTGACGCGCTGAGGTGGGATAATGAAACGACTCGGATAAAAGCTTGGCCTTGGTGTGTCGCACTACGGAATACGTCAACAGATTAGATTTGTGTAAATATTATTCTCTCTATGGCAATATGTGGAAAACTTATTTTGCAGAGCCGGACACTATCTTTGTGTTTAAAATCTTCTATAAAGTACTTGGAGGAGGAACCCGCCTTGCAATGCCGAAAACAATCTGCGCGCCGGACTCGTCGTCATTGAAGCCTGGTTCAGGGGCTACTGAGGGAGTCCTGGATTAGGGGGTGTTCGGATAGCCGAACTATACCTTCAGCCGGACTCCTGGACTATGAAGATACAAGATTGAAGACTCCGTCCCGTGTCCGGAAGGGACTTTCCTTGGCGTGGAAGGCAAGCTTGGCGATACGGATGTTCAGATCTCCTACCATTGTAACTGACTCTATGTAACCCTAACCCTCTCCGGTGTCTATATAAACCGGGGAGTTTTAGTCCGTAGGACAACATACACATCAACAATCATACCATAGGCTAGCTTCTAGGGTTTAGCCTCTCTGATCTTGTGGTAGATCTACTCTTGTACTATCCATATCATCAATATTAATCAAGCAGGACGTAGGGTTTTACCTCCATCGAGAGGGCCCGAACCTGGGTAAAACTTCGTGTCCCTTGCCTCCTGTTATCATCCGGTCTAGACGCACAGTTCGGGACCCCCTACCCGAGATCCGCCGGTTTTGACACTGACAGCGATCAATTCCCAGTGCATCAATCAACCAGACATATATTACAGGGAAATCATGTTATGCAATAGCCTTAGGTACAAGAATTTGTTCCACTCAAAATGAAAAAAGAAACATATGGAAAGTTAAAAAATGCATAGATAAACCGGGTGGAGTAAAAAATTCATCTTCTCAACTAATCATAATGTTACTACTTTAGAGTGTCTCCAATAGCAGCCATGTTTTTCAGCACGAAAATAGGGTGGCAAAAATCTTGGCATGAAACGCATTTTTTGGGCATGAGCAAGCGTCGTCTCCAATAGCAGCCCCATAATAGGGCACCCAGATCAACAAAATCAATTTCTTTAACTAGCATTTGAACTACTTCAACCATATTTCATATTTCAAACAAAGTTTGACCGAAGTTTAAATATGCAAAACATAGTTCAAATACGACATTGCCACTTCAAACTACCAACTTAAACTACGATCACTACAGTTTGTTCCAGTCGATATCATTGGACCCATCACTCTTGTCGTCAGAATTGAGTTGACCACACCGGAGGCTCCTGCATTCTTCTTCTAGCCGTGTGATGACGAAGGCACTGCTTCGTCGTCGTTCTTGCGCTTTTCGGTGTCCCTTTTCAGTAGAACTCCATCTCGGCTTGCACATACACCGAATATGCCCTAGCAAACGCCGCCATGGTCTCCTCGCCGCTCTCTCGGATGTTTTCCCGTTTGTCGACCACAATGCGAGGAGCCGGCTTGATCGGGCTCGACTCAATTGTCACCGAAGGCCCGACGAGCTCCGCATCGGCCCTAGAATCAATCTACGGGGAATTGAGTTTCGAGCAGGGGAGGTTGAGCCTCCACACGGCGACGTCATACGCACGGGCAGCGAGGTCACCCGTCGAGTGTGTGTCGAGCCAATACATCTGGCTGGCATGTTGGAACTCGAAGCCGTAGTTGCTGGACGGACACCGGCACACCCCTTTTAGTTCGGTCGTGCCCTTTTCCTTCAGAGGCATGGCGAGGAAGCAGCGGCTCCAGGGAAGCAATCGGCGGCTCCGGGGAGGCGGTGGCTTGGAGAAGAACTAATGTAAGTGCAGTGACGACACATTGGATTTCATCGGGGGAGGGCCAGAGCGAACCCTCCGATTGACCCATAGGTCTAGTTAACTATTTTTTTTAAATGCCATGAACAAAACAAATACATATTTTCTTATAAAAGCAGAGAAATATAAACTATAATTGCCATGATCTGAAGTATACCTGGCCATGGGCAACCCGGCCCAGACGGCCCGACCCAACCCGGCCCGGTCTTGCCCATGGGTTGGGCCTGGGCCTGGAAATTGAGCCTGAAGGTCAGGTCAGGCCGGGCCTGGGCCCGTCATATTTGCGATTTACTGAAGAGGCCTGAGGCCCAAGGCCCGGCGGGCTTTTACATTGACGGGTCGGGCTTGGGCCTGGATTTTAGGCTCGATGGCCGGGCCAAGGCCAGGCCTATGTTTTCTTCGTCAGGCTTTGTCTGGCCTGACCTGAGGCCCGGCCCGGCCCGAGGGATGGCCAGGTATAATCTGAAGATTGACATGCAACTTTATGAAGCTGCCATTTCTCTAATTTACAAGTTTACAATGGTATGATTAGAAAAAGTGTCGTGTGATCTACAAAAAAAATTATGATTTTATTTTCTATGGAGATGTTTCACTGTGCAAAAAGTGCCATACTTTGAAGAACATTTTGTCTTTATTTTTTTCCATGGACAGAAAATAAAATGTCATGATATAATTTTTTTGATTTATTGAGTCCACTGTGCAAAAAAATCATTAAAAAGCCATGCCAATGAAAAACTAAATTGCAATGCCAATTAAAAATTGGCATCTTCTTAGTAATAAAACTGACATCCTCTCAATAATAAAAATGGCATGCTCTCAAATCAAATAATAAAAACTATCATCTTGTTAATAATAAAACTGCCATCCTCCTAAAAATAAAATTGACATGTTATTAATATTAAAAATGTCGCACTCTTAATAATAAAATTGTCATCCTTTTAATAAAAAACAGTTTATTAATAATAAAACTGACATGTTCTTAATAATAAAACTGTCATCCTCTTAATAATATCCATGTTATTAATTATTAAAACATCATGTTCTTAATAATAAATTGCCATATGTGAAAGTAAGAAGACAATTCCAAAATTGCGTTGAATAAGTGATAAAATTTCCCAAAGCTTGCCAGGTGGCTTTACAAAAAAAACTAAAAAATGCCATGTTTTGGAAGACAAAAAATGGCATGGTTAAAATAAAAAAGGAATTGTCATGCTACCTATAATTAAAAATGCACATGGCAACTTTAGAAAATATCCCCTCTCTAAAAATAGGGATTTTTGTTCTTTCAAAAATGGAAAAAATTGGGATTTTGGGGGGGGGGGGGAATCAACTGAAAAATTGAATTAAAAAATATCTTTAAAATACAAGTCACAACCCCTCACTTTATTAATATCTTTAAAATACAAGTCACAACCCCTCACTTTAGTCGAGTGATAAGCACCCCCGCCTCTTAAGCAAGAGGTCGCCCGCTCCTCGGGCACCTTGGTCCTGCATTTTTTTTTTGCGAAAAAAAGAGAACGTAACAATATAACTGATGTTCCATAAAAATAGGTTGTAGGTGTAACTATTCCTATTCCAAACTGTATATATGTGTGTAACTGCACAGAAATAAACCTATAAGAACAGCCTAATGCATTTGAAACCAATGCTTGACCTCTAATTCATTTCACAGAAGTTCTGATCCCGAGTCATCCTTGTTCTTTGTTCTAACAATCTCAGGGTCGACAGTGTGCTGCTTGCATCCTCTGGGGCCATAGTGCTCTGAGATCTTCCGCACCACCTTCCGACACAGAGCACAGTAATGAACCTGACATGCCAGGCACAAGATGTGGTTGTTGTTTCCCATCTGCTCATATCAGATACAGTGAAATATTGCCCGACATCAGATAAAAAAATTGATGATTAAATCCATATGATATCTGAAAGCCATATCAACATCACCTTGGGATATGGTCGGTGGCATTTTGGGCATGGATACTGTCTGGAGCTGACGGATAGGCTCAGTACTTTTCGTTCAATCTGCACCGCATTCACTGTAATGAAATCAAGTGCCCTTACAGTCTCTGTCCTCCTAGCATTTAAGTAGTTGAATTCACGGTGACAGTTTCTGCAAAACATGTGGTTGCAGCCAGACACACGTATGAAGGCAATACCACAATGAGGACATGGAACGGAAGAACGGAGGACTTCCTTGATGCTAAATATTTCATTTGCCAAGTTGATTCGTCTGTCAATGTCGCCTTTGCTCCATTGGCGCACCCTTGACTGTTCCTGTATAAAACAAACATCACATTGATAATTGTAATCATTCCTCATTGCATTAATCAACCAGACATATATTTCCGGGAAATCATGTTATACAATAACCTTAGGTACAAGAATGTGTTCCCCTCAAAATGAAAATATAATGAAAAAACTTGTAGTTCCTTTTCTCTACTAACCGAAAGAAATCAGTTCTACAACGATTAATTTGGTAGGGAGATATATCCAGCGGCACGTGCTATTACTACACGCCCTCATCCCAAATTTTCTTGTTCAGCACTTAAGTAGGACACATGGTTCAATTATTAACACTGAAGCTTGGAAAAAAATTGAAACTTTCATGGGGGGAGGCTCCCCATCTGAATATTTTTCGTTGCTTTTTTTTCCAAAAACCTCCAAGAGGCAATATCTTATAAAGGCGCGCTTATTCAACGCGAGGAAAGGAAATCACACCACAGCAGTGCGTGGTCTTTGAGCTCAGATGAGCGCAGCCAGTGTGACCATAGAGTTATATCCATGCTTGTAATATGTTGGGCCTAAAGTTTGAAATTGTTTTTTACTAAATTCTGAAGAAGAAAATAAGCCTTTTCTTTTATGAAAATGCTTTTAATATGTTGGAAGTTGGACTTGGCTCTGATTGTGAACACTCACAGGTCACAGCTAATAATGAATTGAGACAAACGAGAGATTCTGTAGCGTTTAGCTGGACTTCAAGGAGTATATGACATAGTACTCCTAGATCCATTTACTACCTGTAAGGTGAGAAGTTTTTCTTCTGGAGTAAGAATAACACAGCTCCTCCCTGTGTGACAAGGCTCTCTGCAGCGGGTGCAGAAGTTAAAGAGGCAATTGGAGCATCCGGCTTTATCCTTGTCTAACAGGCAAGCTGTTCCACATCTTGGACAGTACGCTACATCAGCCATTGAATCTAGAGCCTTCTGAAGCATCAACCTTTCGCACCGTTCAAAATCTGCATCTCCTGGCAACCTCTTCAATAGATTAGGAGGAATAATGCCTCCACACCTGTCATCAGGGCACACCAACTTTAGTACTGTTCCTTCCTTGAGATGAATCCTTGAGTAAGTCTCCATGCACCTCTGGCAAAAGTAATGCTGGCATGGAAGCTTTACAAAATCAACGCATGAGGGTAATCAAAAGACACAATTTAGTTCTTACAAGTCTCCTGACATGATGGAACTTAGATTGCCCATGATTAATTGATTATTTCACAGAAGAGTGAACATGGACATGATTATCTATGGTAAGTTTAGGCTTTTGAATGGTCCATTGGTTTAATTAGCAGAGGCTCAATTGTGTACATAATTAGTGAAACGCAGTGACACATGGACACTGCATTTGTTATTGCTTTTTTTTTTGCGGGTGTGCATTTGTTATTGCTGTACAAAATTAGTAGAGGCTCAATTGTGCCTTGACGAATATGCGAAAAATGATATTTTTGTCAGGTTTAAAATGCTGTGCCTTGACGAGTATTAAATAGTTGAAATGAATTTTGAGCAAATATTTAGATTCTAGTTATGTGATATTATTTCCAAATTCCGGCCAATATAGGCTCGAATTCGTGCTCATTAAATCATGGAACCCCAATTCGGCATCCAATGTATATATTTTCAAATGATGAATGGTAAGTCCTGAAAAAATTACTATGTGCAGAACACAGCATATTCAGACGAAAAAAATAGAGATATCATAATGCAGAGCATAGTGCAAGAAATGAGCCCCAGGAAGAGTACCCCGAGCATCAACTAGAACATTCAAGTTACCTGGGTACTCGCTGAAGCAAATCATGCAGGCATGAAGCCCGTGGAGAAAGGATTCATGGCATTGCTCCTCATTGTAGCCGATCAACTGTTGAACGACAGACTCTGCAGACAAAATCTCTCCCACAACCCGAAGATCCACAGGACCAACCGCAGTATGAGGCTGTCGTATGACTATTCCGTTGTCAAAACCAAGATGAGAAAGCATAGAGCTCTGCAGCCAATGCACCCACTCATAAACAACTTCCTGTTCAGCTTGTTGCGCCCACATCGAGTCGAGCATGTGACAAAGGGAGGAGACCTTCACATTATCCAACCATTGTACACCGAGAGTGAAGTATGGAGGATGATGGCTTGGGTACTATGGAGGCATGAGGCATGTCAATGATAGTGGAGCCAAGTGCTCGACACTGAAGTTTTCAAGGAACTGGCTCTTTGGGTCATCATCATCAACACCCTGGAATGGTTCTACGGATACACTGATGCCATCTGGAATTTCACAATGCACCTGAATCTGCAAATTATTGAAAATGGAAAAACAAGTATCATGATTTTTGTGTGTCGATGATAGTTACTGATTCCTGGGACCCTGTGGACCAATTTAAAAAGTTTTACCTGGAAAGATCGCGGTCCAGCCTTTTCACCAAAAATGCAGATCTTGTCTCCAAAAATTGCCTCCAGAGCTAACATCTAAGAAATAAATAAGATATCCCAGAATAAGGTTACCTCAGCATTTGCTCTTTGAAAAATCAGTATAATTTTTTTACATCCAAGTTTGAGACGACCAATGCTCATTCTCTGTTTCTGAACACGGGTTGTTTTGTATAAGAAAATTTATGGGGTTTTTGCCTTGAAGAGAAGAGAACTCCTATGCAGTAAATTAATTTGCTTATGAAACTATATTCAGATAATGTTTGTTAACCAATGTCAGAATTTCCTCTTCTTCTTCTTTTTTATTTCGAGTGGAACTTCCTCTGTTTTGATATCCTGCACACCATTAGCCTGGAAGTGCCACTCCAATTCTAAAACCAACTTTCCTAGAGTATTGTATTCATGCTTTCAGTCTGGAACCTGCTTAGCTGAATGTCAGAGCAGCAAAATACTTGGATCTTACAGTGAAGTCGCAGCTTATTTCAAATCACAACCTGTGCGTGACACAAGAGGACCACAAAAACTGAATGGATGTTCCTGTTTTCTGCTCAGCTACAGCGAAATTGCACTACACTAGACTTTTTCTGCTACCTCTATCTTCCAGTGTTAGGGTTTGCGGTCTGAAATTACACAAGAGCTTAGGAAAAATTGTGCGCGACTTGGAGGACTCGGTGGACGCCGCGATCAGGAGAGGGGTGGGGTTTGCATTACGAAATTGGCCCAAGGGTTTAACGGCGACGAGGTTTAGGGTGAAGCACAGAATTTCAGGGGAAGAGGGGGCACCTCGTCTTGCTGGAGCTGGTCGTTGGAGCGCAGCTGCTCGTCCGACAGATCGGGCTCCACTCCCTCCTCGCGACCCCGCAGCGCCATCTCGCGGAGCATCCTCGCCGCCTCCGGCGAGAGGTCGTCGTCGCGGTGAGCGCTCTCCATCTCCATCCAGGGCTCTGCTGCGGGTGGCGACTTGCGACGGTACGCGTACGGGGGAAATTTAGAGACTTTCTTTTTGTTATAATTTTGATTGACAGCATGAATTTTGCGTCTACAAAAGTGTGCTTCTGATTATCTTCAACAGGAGTTTGGAGACTCCATCAATTAATTAAGCAGATGACAAATATTTAGATACCCAACACAGAATTAGGGATGGAAACGGACGGATCGGATAGTGCTCTTATCACCTTCAAAACAAATACGAATACGAATACGGATGTTATCAGATACAGATGTGGATAGGATGTTATTTGTATACAAATACGTATCGAATGTTTATTCGATTCAGAACGGATATAAATAATAGTGACATATTGCTTAAGTAAATTAGTCAATAGCTATGTGACATGAAATAATCAACTTGTGACGTACAATAAGTCAATAATAAATAGGTTTATGAATAGATACTATTGTAATGCATTATAATTTCTATGTTTAATCATACAAAGAGTAAAATTTAACCACTTATTTGGCTTTTATGTTGGATAATTGAAATGTTGGGGCTAGAATTTTGAAAATTGCCTCCCATAATCTTATTCGGATACGGATATATCCACTTTCATATTCATATTTGTGTCAAAATCTTATACCATATTTATTTATTTATTTGTTAAGTAAATTCAGGTGCAGATAATTTCCATTTTCATTTTGATTCAAATGCAGATAGTTTAGATATGAATATGCATTTTCTCAAATACAAATATCAGATATTTCAAATTATCCACTACCACTTTCCACCCCTACACAGAATAGCATCGGCCGATCTGGCTACCAACAAAATCCCGCATAACCCGGTTCAGAAGAACAAGAAAAAGAAAGTACGATAGCACTTCTGACTCTGAAGCCACTCCCCACACCTCTATGCACGCCGACGGCCGCGCCGCCGCGCCCGGCGGAGATGCCACCACCGACCCTTCCTCGCCGTACTTCATCGACGCCGCCCACCCGTACGCGGCCGCCGCCGCTTCCGCGCTCACCTCCCACCGCGCCAAGTCCAAGTGGTCCCAACTCGCCTCCCTGCCGCTCCCCGACCCCCTCCCCGCGTCCGCCGTCTCCGCCGTCCTCCTCCTCCTCCGCCACCGGCCCCACGTAGCGCTCAGCTTCCACCAGTTCGCCCTCCGCCGCCTCCTCCCATCCCGCTCCCCGCCCCCGCTCATCCTCTCCGCCTCCGCCGCGCACGTCGCGGCCGCCTCCCGCCTCCGGCGCGCGGCCATATCCGTCCTCTCCTCCGCCACCTGCCACTACTCCCCCTCCCAGATCTTCAACGCCCTCGCCGCCACCTACCGCCGCTTCGCGTCGGCCCCCTTCGTCTTCGACCTCCTCCTCCTCGCCTACCTCCGCTCCCGCCGCGAACCCCTCGCGGCGGCCTCCATCGCCCGCCGCTACCTCGCCTCCGGCGCCTGCCCCCTCCCCTCCACCGTCGCGCTGCTCTTCCGCTCCCTTCCCTGCGCCGAGTCCGCCCTCGAGATGTACCACCAAATCTACACGCGTCCGGGTCCAAGAACCAACCGCGTGCTCCAGCCGACGGCGCAGACCTTCAACTCCCTCCTCCTCGCTGTCTACCGCCATGGCAAGTGCCAAGATTTCGACATTGTGCTCGACGAAATGGACAGGTACTCCTGCAAGCACAATGTGGGCACTTACAACATTCGGATGGCCGCGTGCTGTGATGACAGGGATATGGAGAAGGCGCGAGGATTGTGGGATGAGATGGTTCAGGGAGGGATCCAACCAGATGTCACCTCATACAACACGATGATTGGTGGGTATTGTGCTGCCGGGGAGGTGGGGATGGCAGAGGAGATGTTCAAGGACATGGAGATTTGTGGGATTGAGCCAAGTGTTACAACATTTGAGTGGTTGGTTAGAGGGCATTGTAGGACAGGGGATGTTGATGCTGCGATGCTTGTTCGTGTAGACCTCAGAAGGAGGGGATTTGGTATGGCGGCGGAGGTTGTCGAGGAGATGGTTGATAGATTGTGTCAGAAGAGGAGAGTTGAGGAGGCGTTATGTATTTTGAGGGCAGAGATGAAGAGGGAAGAGTTCACACCGAGTCGGGGAAGCTATGAGGTGCTGATAAGGGGATTTTGTGAGAAAGGGGAAATGGAGGTGGCGATGAGACTCCAGGCAGAGATGGCCGGGAAGGGATTCAAAGCCGGAGCTGAGGTATACCATGCTTTTGTCCGCGCTTATGAGAAGGATGAGGACCACGAGATGGTTGAGAGGTTGAGGAAGGAAATGGCAGCGATAGGCATTGAGGATGGCAGTGACCTGGAATGTATGCAATGATGCGTTTTTTAAGCTTCGTATGTTGCTGTTCAGGACACTGGTAAATTCCTGTTGTACTTGTCTCATCCAATTTTGTTCATCTTCAGTCTTTACACTGTACATATTAGAGCACAAAAATCTCTGAGTTGTATCTTCAGAAATATATGGAGTCTGAGGGTCTTCCACCTCTATCTGTGAATTTTATTGTTAGGTTCATGACTTCTGGCTGGTTGTGTTAACTACTTTAGTGATCATCTCCTGTGTTATTACCATATATTTCAACTTTTACAGCTTACATCAATCTTTGTGTCATGCACTCATGCATGCCATTGATATATAGTTGTTGCATATGAAAAGGGACATATGATTTTTGCAGGTTTGTTAAGATCTGCGGTACATGTAGCCAAAGAGTTAATTGGCCAGCTCCCTTCATTATTTGAGGTATGTACCACATGGACTGCAACTATGAAGTACAATTTCATGTTCGATGTATGTAGTGTGTGTCGGTGGTTCTAAAATCTAATGTTTCGGTTGGCACCGACTGTAGCCAAAAATAACAATACTTATTCTTATGTCACAGTTCCGCCATAAGAGAGTTGGCAAGTGCTGCATTCATGCTCCAGCAAGGAAGATCCTTGAGACAATGCAAATTATCTGTTCCTGAGCGCATCACCTAACTGACCTCTCATGATCAGGACTTTGGCAGAACTGTATATTGACAAGGGTGAGAGTGCGTGTTATATACATACGTCTGAAAGCTGGCAATTGCAAAGGACGAACTCGCCAAGAGCTGAAGAAGCAAGACAGTAGTGAGAGGCGGTATGTTCATCACCGTGGTCAGTGTTCCGTCAGTCAGTAAAACCACAGCAGCAGGCCAGAGAAGCCAGGCGCTTTGGTGTGATGTGTGTAAAGTTACCTTGGCACTCTTTACCTTGCTTTAAAACGAATTTGCTTCTATCATTCAAATGATATCATGGAAATTTTAGAGGAATGTATTTTAGAATTTTCTTCTATTGGTTTTGGGGTCTGTATCTTGTAAAAAGTCTGCATTAAGTCGAACCTTTTGAAAAAAGAATCTTAGTTTTCTCTATGGTGCAATCAAACAAAGGCAACTTTGTGCTTATCTGATTCAAGTGTGGGTGGCATTGCGTCCCTAAACTATACTGTCTTTTCATCGGTTCAAGCTTTTAGATGAACGAAAATGAAGGCAAATGTTTCCGGTGAACTGGATGCTACATGAAACTCAAGACCTTGCTCAAGCAATATTAAAAAGACTATAGTTGTTGGCTAACACAACATTTATAGATCTAGAATTACACTTGTTAAGTCGAAAGTGTTCTTCTAATCTCGAGCTCAAATGCTGCCAATATGAACAGTAAAATCAGAACGAAAAGAAAACAAAAATCTGATTTATTTTTTTGACAACAAAATTGCTTAGTTTTCTGTCCGCGTGCATATTTTAGTAATGAAATCACCTTCATGGAGGTCTGGGTAAAAATAACAAAATCATCACTTCAAAATGCTTTCAAAAGTAGACTTTTTTTTAAATCGCAGGCTTTATTACTTATTCATGAGGATTACAATGGATTTGAATACATCCTATATGAAAGAGGGGGTATTGTTTACCCGAAACATCTTCTACGATCCTCACTAGACTGCTTGATGCATCTATGTGCAGCTTCATTTGATTCACGGTTAACATGGACAAGAGAGAAGGATTCGGTACTGGAGCTCACATCATGTCTCAGTTTCAAGGCAGCTGCCACAAAGCTTTGTGATGTTTCTGTGGTTGATCTATGAAAGGATGGCGACCTCATTGACGACTTGGTCAATCTCACCTTGCTCAATGACCTTAGATTTCTTTATAGCGACCACAAGATGATCAGATAAGATGCCTTTGTACACCATGCCATGCCCTCCACGGCCAAGGATCCGTATGCAATCAAAGTTGTTTGTTGCATGCTCCAACTCTGCCAGTGAGAAAATCTTTGTCCTTTCATTTGCATTTTCACCCGATGATATTAGTCATTCTAAAAGGATGCCACAATTCTCTGCAAAATACTACATTTTTATTGCTTTTGGATGTCTCTTCGCCACCGCTCGCTCACCTGTTTTTTTGCTCCTATTTTACTACAGTAGGTATGATGTTCTTAGAAAAAGCCGACCAGTTTTTAAGTAACAAATGTTCATGAAATTTTTTTAAATGAAATTGATTTTTTTTGTAAATTTCAATTTTTCCCTAAAAATGTTCACAGAATTCAAAATGTTCATAGATTTTCTAAAAATATTCGCAGATTTTCTAAAAATATTCACAGATTTTCTAAATATATTCACGGATTTTCTAAAACTTATTTGTAAATTTGAAACAATCCTCCGTGGATTTGAAAAAAATCACAATTTTGAAACAAAATCGAGGTTTTGAAAAAGTTCACAAATTTGGAAAATTTCACGAATTTCAATTTTTTCACAAATTTGAAAAAAATGTGAATTGAAAATCTTTGCAGAATTAAAAATATTCCATTTTCAAAATGTTCATAGATTTGACAAAAAGGATCACTAATTTGGAAAAAAATTGTGAATTTCAAAAAATGTTCACAAATTTGGAAAAAGTTCACAGACTTGAAAAATCTTCACAAATTTGAAAATTTCAACAAAAAATTAAAACATTATAAATTTTAAAATTGATCCCGAATTTAAGAAAAAAATCATGATTTTGAAAAAAGTTTGTGAATTTTGAAAAATGGATGATCGAAAAATAAAAATGTAACACGAAGAAAAAAACCATACATAACTCCTCTTGGAAAAACAAGAGAAAGAAATAAGAGTTAAATGGGTCGAGCCCAAAGTGGAAGGATGGTGCACCAGGTTGCAGGAACACCTATAAACGACACTTAGGGCGCTGAATAGGATTTGGCCCACACATGCACCTTTAACATTTTTTTAATCTAAACATACTTACTTTATTAATTAAAGATATTTATAGGGATACAATGAAGGTACGACGGATATAACAGCCACAGATTGCGCCCGAGATCCAGACCAAAAGCATGCGTAGCAAGGCTATGTGCCTCAAATTTTGAAACTCTACTACAAAAAATGAAAGAACACTCATTAAAGTGCTTAGAAGTTTCGATGACCTCCTTCATGATGCTCGCATAAGTTTATCTGGTCTACTTGTTGATGTCCTGAACCACCATATGGCAATCGGAAACTATAACCACTTGCAAAGCCAAGTTAGTAGTAAGAGTAAGAGCCTCCCTGAATGCTAACATCATGTTGAATAAAATCAATGCTACTGAAAAAGTTTAGCTCCGCATTGCTCTTGTTAGTATCTTTTGTCTATATGCTGTACTTACATTTATAGCTAGTTGATTATGTAGCATCACTCTGAATCTTAGCTTAAATATTCTTCATTTGTTTCTATATTATCACATCTATATTTACTCTTAACAAAATGTAGAATGAAGGCAATGCTTATGAAGAAGATTCTATGGT